GGTTAAGCCAAGAAAAGTGGGTGGGTTAAGCCAAGAAAAGTGGGTAGGTTAAGCCAAGAAAAGTGGGTGGGTTAAACCAAGAAACCAAGCCAAAAGCCAAGAAAAGTGGGCGAAGCTTGGCATTTTGGCTTTTTTGGTTCAGCCCTGCATACCATAAGAAGGGCGCCACGTAGTGGCTACCAGCGGACTTAAGTTAATTTTGTAACTATACGTAGAAACTAGCTTTTTTAGCCCTTTCTATGAGGGAGAAATGTTTTAGCCTTAGACGACGAGTCTTTTGCAGGAGTGCCAGCCGGATATCTCCTTCTGAATTTGACGAGTGGCAAATGGACGACAGCCAATTGGAATGGGCTCTTTCCATTCGTATGTCGGACACAAGTAAGATATAAACTGAATGCTAATCAACTGCAAAATTTTAAAAGGTTTTGACATGGACTAAACAAATCTATTAAGGATGCGAGTACCGAGCCGCCCAGCTGTCCACCGTATGCGCCTTGTCCAACAGATTGGGTCTACTCACAATCGTTGAAGTTTTGCTACAAAGTGACAACATTGAATCTTAAATATTTTCAAATAAAGCCTTAAATAAAGCCTTAGCCTATGAGCCTTTAAAGACAAAAATATAACAATTTAGTATGATTTTTCTATCAGGCGATTTTCAACGTCGACTTTACCGAAGGCGATCAGAATTGTCGATTGATGAATTCGTTTCTGACATCGATTCATTCGGACGCAGAGAATCGTTTTGTTAATGGTTAGTGTTTCTACAATTTTATGATTTAAAAAAAAAAAATATTTTGTAGACTTGGGCAAAACAGGAAGCCCTCAAACGGCTTGGCCACAAGAGCCGTTGATCGGTGGCAAACGGGTGACGTTTTAAAAATCCTATTGGGCTGCGGAATATGAAATGGCGCCGAGTTTCCAAGAAACGTCTATAACATCAGTAAGCAAATGACACGCGGGTGGTATCTTTAGAAAGGTCACTTATTTCTCTACAAAATCATATTTGAAATAGAACTCAAAAAGCGCCCCAATTCAATAAAAGATCATTTTTTTCAGAGAATCTATAAATTGTCGTTTAAAGAGAATGACTGACGAGATCACTACAAAAATTTGGCCATATATGTAATTAAATGTGCTCTAAGTTTTTTGTTTTGACATCAATTTAAGTTTATGTATAAGGAAAGAATCGGACTCCTTGTCATTTTCACTGACATTTAAGAGCCCATAAAATCCACAGAACAAAAGCTTTACGGAATCTCTCAAAAGCCATTTTGTAGAGCAATGATAGACCTTTTTGATTATACAAACAATGGATTCGATGGAGCTTTTATGCGTCCCAAAAAAAATTTCTAAAAGTCGGCGCCATTGCATCCTCCTCAACCCAATACTTGCAAGTCAACTGGCTGAGCCGGACAAATGCTATGCGGTCTATATCATCCGACCCAGAATTTTATGTTGATTCCAAATATGTATTCCGTTTTTGCTAAATTACAATCTTTCAAGAAACATATGCGTCTAAAATTTTGTTAGGTGGTCATTTAGATCTTAGCGGTCTCCTTGCGTACCCGATTCGGTGCAGACCTGGCCCTGGTACAGCGTTTGTTTCCAGAGCAAGACTGGCAAGTTCGATCCTCACTTTGGATTTTTCTTTTGCTTTTTGTCAGTTGGAAGATGTTGGATCCTAGCATTGTCCTCATCACAGTTCTTGTTTTGTTAAGTCATTTGGGCTTAGCGACCTCTTTTGCGGAGAATTTTCAGTGCAGCTGTGGCCGAGTGGTAAAGCGTTTGTTTCCAGACCGAGACCTCAAAGTTTGATCCCCACTTTGGATTTTTCTCTTGTTTTTTCAAGAAGTGCTGACTATTGTTCTAACAAAACTTTAGACGCTTATAACTCCTGGCAGATTATCATTGAGCAAAAACGAAATATATATTTTGAATCAGCATATAATTCTGCGTCGAATGTTATAGGTCGCGTAGCATTTGACTGGCTCAGCCAGTTGACTTCCTCTTGTTAGCTTGCCAATTTAGACAAACCAGATAAATTAGAATTATATTGAAATTCAACTGACAGATAAGCATAAACAAATTGACTTTCTTTTTCAGACGGGTCCCGGGAAAACGGATTGGATGTGGGTGGACGGGACGCCGTTCAATTACTCGATTTGGGCTGATGACCAGCCGGACAACTATGCAGGCAATGAATGGTGTTCGCAGGTGGAGTAGTCCGCGTGATTAACCCTGAAAAAAACCCCAAACTACCTGTATGTGTAGAAAAAACAATGACATCTTTAGACAGCCGCCGATCTGTACCCGAACGCGTATCCAAAATCGGAGCAATACCTCTATAAATGGAATGATCTCCCCTGTGAGACTCGATATCGAGTGGCAATTTGCAAGCAGCCGGCAAAATACTGAACGAGTTCTTTTTGCCGATGACTAACCGAATATTATCTCTCTAGATGTGTTGCCTAAATGATGTATTTTTGGTGTGTGTTAAATTGTGTAAGATTTAATAACAGCACGTAGCTCCCCATTCCACTACTGCCGAATTCGACTCGATTTGTATTAGGCGTGTATTTGCATACAAAAAGAAAGGGACTCGAGTTGTTGAATGATTGCCTATCTTGAATATGTTTGACAAAACAATTCTTCTTCTGGTGCAATCGGTATCACGATCAGTTATTGGGTTGGGGAGTGTGAAATGGCGCCAACTTTCAAAAATTTTTATTCTTAGACAATTTATTCCATTGATTCAAAAAGCCCCTAGTTAATACCTTATGCTGACAGCGATAGGCGATTTCGAGAATTTTTTTTTACGAAAAATTCGCATTCAAAACCCGACAACCTAATACTGACTAACCTAATCTAATACTGACTTTTGCGTTTGGAATACCCTATATTTCGCCAGAAATTTCCACTTTCCAAAGACTTTTTCGTATCAACTTCAATTTGAAAGTTTGTACTTAAATTGTTTAGCTGATTATGAGAATTCTATTGCAAAAATATAGTGGCTAAGTCAAACGCAAGTACCCATTTCCAGGTCTTCCCCCAAGAAGGCCTTTTTTTGTCGGATGTTATATGAAAGGAATTCTGTATTATGAGTCACTTCCAGAAGGGGAAACAGTGAATGCAAATCTTTATTCTCAAGAATTGAGGCGTTTCCATGAAGAAATAAAGAAAAAACTGACTACGGAGGTCGCAAAGTCATCCTTTTACTTGATAACCAAGTGGCTAATAGCCGCGCGCGTCCAAGTGATCAAATCGACTCGACAGACAATTAAGAAATTAAGATTGAAGGTTTTAGCATATTCGACTCATAGCGTTGATATTTCTCCTATAGGCTATCATTTATTTCTGGAGCTAAAGACGTTTCTGCTAGAGAAGCACTTTAAATATTTGAAACAAACCCGTAAAACGATCAACGAAAACGATCGTAAAACGTATTTCGATTTAAAAACACCCAAAATTCTATCGGAATAGAATACATAAAATACCGGAATTTTGCGAGAAAATCATCGAGAATAACGCCGAATACTTTGCTTAATTGCTTAATATTTAAAAAATAATTGTTCTATAACAAAAGTTTAAAAAACGGCATAACTTATTTGTAAACCGAATAAAAATAACTGATGCTAAAAAGCTCACCTAGCGTTCCCATAAAAAACTGATTGAAATCTACTAAAAGAAAGGCTTTTTATTCTGTTTACATAAAATCTCTCAAAAAAATTGAACAAGATCAAGAATTATTCGCGATAATGCTAATGGCCACGATAATTATGATAATTTTTATGATAACAAAAGCCGTCCAAAAGATGATTCGAGGACGGCTACAGCGATTTGCCGGGACTAAAAATGTTTTGTGTAATGAACAAACTTTGTCAACAAACCTTCAACCACTCTATTCACAACGATCACTCTTGGAGGCCCCTGAAGTTTCAAATACTTTAATCAAATACCAACGAAAACCAACCTGTTGCTGTTGTTGTTCGTTTTGTGCCCGTCTTACAGCTTCGAGTGTCACTGGATCGAGGGTTTGCTGAAGGAGATGCTTTATGTTATAGCTTTTGGTATTTTAAAACTCAAAGGAAAGGCACAAACTACCCGTAAGCTTTCGTCTTCGGACCGCATAAATCTTACTAAATTGAGAATAGAAATTCATAATCTAAAAGCAAAATCGGCTCTTGCGTAAGGTCCGGGTATTTTGAAAGAGTCGTCACGCTTTGTAGATCATAACTTCTTCCAGAAATCGTATTATTGCTAACATTTTATATCATTGTACAGAGCACATTTCAGGCTTTCCAATGATACCAAATATAGCTTGATTGGATAATCCAGTCCAGATAAATCAGGGCCAACTCTGAGCAAATGAGGCCTATCCGACTCGGGTGTTGTGTCGCCTGGTTTGTATGGGAATAAGAAAATCCAGTCAAGCTCTATTTAGTAATATTAGAAAGCCTGAAATAATCTCTGTACAATGATATAAGAAGTTAGCAAAAATATTATCTCTGGACAAAGTTATAGGCCTTCAAAGCGTCCCGACTCGTTCACAAAACTCGGATTTTTGAAAACTACGCAAGAGCCTCAAAATCTGCCAAATAATCTGAAAAACGCGTAAAAATTGAGTTGAAATTTCGAGGATAAGCTTTAAAGGGCGCTTTTCAATCACTGAAATCAGGGCACCGGTGGCCTAGTGGATAGTGGGACGGCCTCTCAGTAGTAAGACCAGGGTTCGGCTTTTGGTTTTTTGATCGCTAGTTCAAGGCGCCGAAATTTCAAAATTTTCTTCAACACTCATGATATATGGCTAGATATTTAAACTCGAAACTAGAAAGATTTCAGCGCCAATGGAATTTTGCTTCCCAAGAGAAATCGACAAAAAAATCTTTTTCCAAAATGGAATGCCAACAGAATGCTTTTCTCAGATGTTCGCATTGTGAAAATTTTTATATTTTGGATGCTTCGTGATCGCGTTTCATGTATTTTAACCTTTAACCTTTTGCTTTGTATTATTGAAATAGTTACAATGTAAAGTATTACATTTGAAGAAAAAAAACTAAAGACCTCGAGCGGGACCAAACCAAGACCAATCCCGGTCTTACTACCTAGAGGCCGTCCCACTATCCACTAGTACACCGGTGCCCATATCCCAGTGATTGAAAAACTTCCTAGAGCTTATCTTCAAAATTTCAATTAAATTTTTACGCGTTTGCAAGCTTATTTGGCAGATTTCGATTTCAGATTATGAATCTCCATACTCGATTTACAAGAGAAGGTCAACCGGCTGAGCCGACAAAATTACCTGCAACCCATACCATTCGACGCAGAACTTCACGCTGATTCCGAGTCTGCTTTCCGTTTTTGCTGAACATTATTCTGGCAGAAGTTATAGGTGTCTAAAGTCTTGTCAGGGCTCTGAAAAAACTCTGGACTCGTCCCGTATCGGATTTTTTCTTGCTTTTTTCAAGATGTGAAAACCTGCGTTCTTTGTGTGCTCGAGCATGGACCAGCTTTCGAGATCACAGCTTAATCATCAAACAGTCAGCTCAACAATCATAATTATTTTTTGCAACTGGCAAACTACAGAATAACAAATGAAGAGAGCAGAGATCTCTGAGACTATCTACGACCACGGCCCATTAGAATCAAGGCCTCACAGAAGGCGCCTAAGACCTAAAAATCCATATTTTCAGAGTCCTAACAAAACTTTAGACACTTATAACTTCTGCCAGAATAATGTTCAGCAAAAAACTGAAAGCAGATTCGGAAACAGCGTAAAATTAAGTGTCGAATGGTAATCTGCATGTAATTTTGTTGGCTCAGCCAGTTGACATTCCCTTGTTAGTAAGATGATGGTAGGGAAACGCGCACCGGAAGTTCGTGCCTTTCCCTGGTCTATTTATATTAATTAAAAACACTCAAACCTCAAACATAATTGCCACTTAATGCTTAAGGGAGATGATTGTTTCCACAAAGTGATACAACTTTGCTTCAAAATAGCTATCAATCAAACAGTAGTTAAAAATTTTGATTTATTTTTAAGTTTTATATTTGTTGTGTCCGATTTAGATTTCCGTCCGATTTAGATTGAACTTATCGCGGACGTCCGATTTAGATTACAGTCTATATCGGACGTCTTATATAGATTGAACAATAATATAAACATGTTTAATATATGTTCTTAAGCGTTTTCTGTAGTTTTCTGCATTTTCAAAGGTCTTTTATTAATTACAGTCTATATCGGACATCCGATACAGATCGAACAATAATAAACGTGCTTAATATATGTTCTTAAGCGTTTTTTTTTGCAATTTTCTGCGCTTTTCAAAGAAATTTTATTGTCTTTTTTTGAGGATTTTTTGTTTTCTTGTTTTCCTATTAAATCCTGCTTTTTTACAGATGGAGGACCTTTCTGACCCAGAATTTGACGTGTTTTTACAAAAGAAGAAAAGAGGACAAATTCCAACCGCTGAAACCTACCAATTGATGGTTGAAACACTCCACAATCATCGTGAAAACTCCGAGAAACCAAAATTACCACAAAACTACCACGAAAACAACTTGCTGAAAAGATTTACGCTCGTGATTGAACAAAAGGGAGCGCAGCTTTCTCATGTGGGCGAGAAAAATGGCAGCGGAGAGATGCCAGCACAACAACGAGTGATTAAGGTTCTTTTATGATCGTTTTTCGGTTTCACCTAATGTGCACAATTAGATTTCAGCCTTTGGATATTGGAAAGAACGTAAGAATTCCAATTAATCCGGTTGATCGACCAAAAATTGGCCACCGAAATCTTTTGGGCGTTGTCACTGAAGGTTTGTTTCGATTAAATTCACTTAAGCCATTTTTTTAAAGCAATCGATGGGCTTTACACGATTGGGACGGCGAATGGGACTCTACCACAGAAGTTTTCAAGAAATCAACTCTATCCTTGTGAGACGGACTTCCTTGTTATTAAATAGAAATTTATGAAAATGAAAAATGTTATAACTCGTTCGTTGTTGTTGTTGGTTTTTTGTTGTTGTATGTTGTAATTTTGCATCTATTCTGTTAGCGCTAATAAATTGTTTCATAGTTGGGTTTTCTTTTCAGAAAAAGACAGTAACAGACCTTTGAAAATGCAGAAAACTACAGAAAACGCTTAAGAACGTATATTAAACATGTTTATATTATTGTTCAATCTATATAAGACGTCCGATTTAGATTCAATCTAAATCGGACGGAAATCTAAATCGGACACAACATATACATTTGATACGTGTTGAGAGTCTAGATGGCAACTTTAGTGTTGTTTGAAGGGAAAAATCGATGAGTGAGATGAATTCGGTGAAAAAAAAGCATTAAGCTGTTACTTGTTTAAAAGTCAAGCAGCTAATTTGCAAGTTTGTTCTTCAGCTTTTATTTATGCTCTGATTATAAACAGGTCTGACTATCATTTTCTGGCACACTAAATCGGTTTGTTTCAACTTTTCCCTCTGAAGTGGAGGGGCGGGGTTTATCGATTGCCATCGGCAATTACCCGCGGCAAACTCCGGCCCTTCACCTGAGCGGTCTTATTAGCAGTGATTTATCTTGGAAATTTCATACATTTCAAAGAATTTCAACTCAACCCTGCTTTACATTCTTTAATTTACATTTATTTTATGAAATTGCGAAACCTGCGAAACGATTTGTGTCGTCGCCATTGGTGATGGTGGTTGATCATAACGATGAACCTCTTTAGCTAAATTTTTAATTTTAAATATTTGTCACTACTTTACTCAAATAGAATCAGATGCTATTTCTAAATTTTTCTGTTTCCTTCAAACCGACTTGCGTCCAAATACGATGGTGGTGCTTCAGCCATTGTGAAACGGGAGAAAATCGATGATCTGCTCAGAATTTAATGTTTGCAGAGTGATTTCATGAAGTGACTCGGACCTTTTTTCCAAAAAAGAGCGGACCTTATCAGAAGCTTTAATGCTTTTCTTTTGCGCCAAAAAAACAACTTGATATCAGATGAAAAAGGAGAGGAAAGAGTGGGGAGAGTTCGGTGAAAGTGAAGAAGTGAATCATTCTGATGAACTGGAGTGAAAAGTTAGCGTAATTTTCTAGGCTTTTAACTTTTACTTTTAACTTCAAGTTAAGTCTCAAATTTATTGAACAAATTAAAGCCATTACAGATCAAAAAAACGAGTACCTTGGCTTCAAATAAGTTGTGAGAGGGATCAAGCTGTGTCCGTTTTTTTTGGGAGAGGTTCTTAAACTCAACCAATCTACACGTCTTATGGCTCATTTGAAAGCTGAATTTAAGGCGGAAAGAAGGGGGAAACCGTTTTTGAATTCATACAGTTTGGAAGTTTTTACAGACGTTTTAGTGAGCTCAGTCAGACCCGAAAAAGTCCCGAAATTGCGTTTCGATAGTTTTTTGTTTGGCAACATAGGCTAAAAACATGTTATTCGTACTCAGCGCATTAAATTACTTTTAGAAACTCATTTTTGAGATTTTTGCAAAAAAAGTAAAATTTTTGTTTCGAACCGGAACCCTTGACCTTTTGGGTAGTAGTCGTCGCGCCGTTTTTTGCCCGTTTTCTTTGCTTTCTTCCTTTTTTTGGTCCTTTGTCTTCCTATTTGTCGTTTGGTATTGTTATTTTTTAGATAAGAGGTGCAGACAAAGGAAGAAAGCAAAGAAAACGGGCAGACAACGACGACAACTACCAAAAGGTCAAGGGTTCGATTCCGGCTTGCAACAAAAATTTTGATTTTTTTTAGCAAAAATCTCAAAAATTAGTTTCTAAGGGAACCCTTCACCTTTTGGGTAGTAGTCGTCGCGCCGTTATTTGCCCGTTTGCGGCAATTTAATGCGCTGAGTACGAATAACATGTTTTTAGCCTATGTTGCCAAACCAAAAAAATATCGAAACGCAATTTCGGGACTTTTTCGGATCTGACTGAGCTCACTAAAACGTCTGTAAAAACTTCCAAACTATGTGAGTTCAAAAACGGGTTTTCCCCTTTTTTCCTCCTTGAATTCAGCTTTCGAATGAGCCATAACGTATGTACATTGGTTGAGTTTAAGAACCTCTCCGAAAAAGACGGACAAGACGTACCTTCCTACCCAATAAATACCTTGCAATAACATTCCTTCTACGAACGAACGATGATTTTAGAGTTATCTTTGTTAAGAGTTATCTCATCTTTTCTTTATGGAAGGGTCAAACTTTTTTTAGAAATTCATCTCTCACCTCATAATCAGTTCGCCAGAACCAAATGTTTCACAGCCACGTTTTTTCCAAAACATTTTTTGTACTGTTTCAAAAAAGTTTCAAAACGGTTTTTTTCAACTTCTTTGAACATTTTCTTAGAGAGTCCAATCGATTATCGTTTTGTTTTTTTGTTAAATTTATTCCGATCTATAAACTTTCTTGTGAAGTGGCTTGAAAACAAAAAGAGATATCAAAATAGGAAAAGTGAACTGTTAAACAAAAAACAAAGAGACAAAACCAACAGTAGAGCAATTTGTATTGAAAAAAACAAAACTTGTTAAAGTGATAAGCAAAGCTCGGTAGCCAAAATCACTAAGAAGCTTTGTAAAAGATGATAGATGTCTCTTCCCTTTTGTAGACTTGGTACAGTAACGCCATCGACATAACTCGATTTCGATCTCGTAGCCGTTACCCTCAAAAAGCAACCATCTCCCTGTTCAAAATCGCCCTCTTGCGACCAGACAATCTGTAAATTATTAGAGTTTTTCTGAATTTCATTTAAACAAACAATTTTCTTATTCATTGAGATCACCTACAGTTAGACGTTGAGCTCGCGGCACCATGTGATTCCAGGGCATCGGTGGCGCTTTGTCGGAGGTGAGACTAATAGTAAGAGATCAATCATGTTTTTAATGTAAAGATGTAATTTTTAATGACTCGATCAATTTGTTGAACATAGAGTTCAGAATTCACTGTTTGTCCGTGATTGAACACCTCAAAATGTACAAATCCCTTTGTATCACAAGTCCCTTTGTACCAAACACATAACATTGTCTTCTTTCCCTACAGGTCCACCTTTGAAGTCGTTACAGGAGATTCCCTTACACTGAGCCACTGTCGTTTCCTGTTGAGATTCTTGTACAAAATCCATTTTTCGTCGGATGTTAAAAATGAATCCCAGCACCCACTGTTCTTTGACTTTCAAAGGAGTATTCCAGCCAGTTTCTTCCCACCTTCCTACAGTTTCCTTCTACAGTTTTCTTCCTACCTTATATTTCCAAGCAGTCCATTCATCTGGTCGAAAAAGCCGAGCCACAGGCGGCCACTCAGCAAATCGATCACCTCGACGCCGACATCGATTGGGTATCTTTCTAGCAAAGGATATTTTATAAGGTTGTTGTCTACCACTTTCTAATGTCCACTTACCACAATATATTTCAGCCGATAGTTCCGCGAGTGGTTCATTCCAATTCAAATAGTCAAACGATGACTTGTACTGTGCTGTGGTGATCACGACGGTGCCCGAGCAAAGCTCTTGCGTTTGGCTATCCATCCCTAAAGAATAAAAGTTTAATCTATAAAAACAAAATAAAAATTAAAGTTGACGAGTAAGCTCACATGCGTAGTTTCTATGTGGCACGACAGCGATGGCCGGCGTGCAACCGGGCGGCACGTGGATACTGTAGACGCTAGCCAAGAGGTATTGCCCGACAAATGGGACTCGATCACTAAATTTTATGATCAGTTTAACAAAAGAATGTATGTTAAGGTCTTTCGTCTATCGATACTTTTAAGATTCTCCGCATTTTCTATTCACTCCTAAACCTTTCGCGGGAAACAACACACTATATTGGTTTTAGTCTTTAAACCGGTTCCGAACCGTTCTCCGAACTTGTCTGGTTCGGAAGTCTGGTTCAGAAGACACGCTTTTAAGTCAATCTATTAAGAACAGTGTGTAGCTAAACATATACTCATCAAACAAACATCTTTCCAATCAAAAGATACCCGTTAAATGAACCCTCAAAAACATGGCTCTTTTCACTTGGCTGCCAAAGGTTAAATTCTATTTTGTGCGCTCATTTCTAGCTTGCACTCGATTCTGTCACATTCTTCTCCAACTTGGCCAAAATTTAATGTTTTCAGAGTCTTTTCGTGATCCTTCAACTTCCTCGCATGCTTTCGCCGTGCTTTTCAATTGCTTGTTTCACATAGAGCGCCTTTCGTAATATCAACGATAAATCTTACGAATATAACGATAACGATAACGAATATAAAATTGGTCGGTTTCTGTCAACAAAAGTCATCCTCGATTCATTTTTTTTTGTAAAAAGACTCTGGAGAAGCTTTAAAACATTGTTTTTATCAATTTTATTGTTTGCCTCGCAAAGCCAGCGGTGGTTGGCCTATAAGCAATCTTTCGGATGCGATCTGCGGAAGGATTGCCCACAGGGCAGCTGGGATTTGACGCGAATCACTGAAGCTCCAAAGGATACACCCAATTATACCTGAAGGTCCATAACTTTCGATCACTCTCGTGCAAATCGAGAAGCGGTGGGCCAATCACAAACGCGTACTCACAGCTGCCATTTCCTCGGTCCTAAAAAAGTTAGAACTTGTATGACACTAACAGTTGGACTCTTCTTACCCATCGAAACTTTTGCAAGACGTAGTAGATCTGCGAGGAGAATGGAATGTTGAGAACGAGCCATGTCGGCTCGTCAGAACGGGTCACTCTGAGCGTAAAGCTGTCCAACTGCCCTAGTACGATCATGAGTTGAACGTTTGGCTTTGCTAAATACTGCTGCTACTTTAGTGTTTTGTTCTGATTTACACATCAATAAGATTTTCGTAAAAAATCGAGTACTAAAGCACTCGCCCTCACCTGTCCACGATTCGACACTAAACATTAGGCTGCCCCGTTGGAGACGCTGATCATCAGAGTACGACAAAATGGTCAACGGGCCTAGGATACGCGTTTGGCATTGCATTGAGGTGATATTATTCTTCTCATCATACCTAAACAGTTTTTTGTTTATCTCTAGTTTTTTTTCGCCATAGTCATGTCTCAGTCGGTGGAATTTTCCGCGGTTTTCGAGACAAAAATAAAGAATTGACTAAGAGTTCAGTAAATTCTGAATCATCAGGAACTGTTTTGAGAAAACTCTCGGTTCGATTCTCAAAAAAAAACTAAGTTTAGACAAAAACCGGGTCCACAGGCCGGGCCGAACATGCTGGCTTTAGCTAACTCTGCTCCTCCACCCACCTCCACGTGCAACTCTCGAACTGAGGCAGCTGAGAGTTGATGTTCAGCGGAAAAAACTCCACGCAGTCCTCTTTGAATCCACTCTACAATAGATGGTAAAAGTCTTAGTCAAAACGGTCTTAAAATAATGATTTTAGAGTCAAATTCAGACCAAACTTTTTCCAAACAAACCCAGTAACCATCACTGCACAACTGCGTGTATTCGATCGAATAGAAACAGTTCTCGCAGTTTTCGGCCATCACGCAAATCGGTGCCGATAAGCCTTGAATTTACAGCAATTTATAGAAAGACTATGAAAAAGCCTTGGATTTATATTAGGTTGTCCAGTTATGAATGCGCGTTTTTACTATTTTGTAAATTTCTCAAGATATCGAGCAGATGTACAGGGTGTCCCAAAATTATGGTTACGAAATAACGTAAAAGTTTTCGACTTTATTTACATAGCAAAAATCAGCTGATAAGGAAAAATTTATTCTAAACAATTTAATTAACAATAAAAACAACATTTAAATCTCAAAATGGCCTCCTTTAGCAGCTATGCATTTCCTTAGTCGTTTTGGAAAGTCATTAATGGCCTTTTCAATGGTAGACAAAGGAATCTCGTTCCAAGCTTTGATCAAATCCTTTTTCAATGAGTCAATTGTTGTGTGAGCTTTTGCACAAGCTTTGCTTTCAAGAATGGACCAGATAGAATAGTCTAAGGGGTTTAGGTCAGGGCTATTTGAAGGCCATTCGCCCGGACGTTGTTGGCTGATATCCACTTTGATCCAGTCAGGAAAGTTGTTTGAGATCCATTCTTGTGTAACAGCTGCTTTGTGAGATGGAGCTCCATCCTGTTGATAAGTCCAGCTATTGGCGCCAAAATGAGCTTGGGCCCAGGGCAAAACATTATTTTTGAGCATATTGATATAAGCGATTTTATCGATTTTGACTTCTGGTGGAATGAAGATCAAAGGAGTTTTTCCGCTGTGAGTTACTCCGGCCCATATCATAACTTGTTGCGGCTTTTGTTGTCTTGACACAATTCTATCATCAAGAGGTAGTGGATCCTTTGACCAAACACGATCGTTTTGATGGTTATGGGCTTGCTCAATATCAAACCACTTCTCGTCTGTGAAGAGAATTCCTTGATGGCGATTTGAGCCAAAGCGTCTCAGAAGCTGCTTGCACCGGGAAAATCGTTTTGCTTTCATAACGTCCGTCAATAAATGGCCTTTGACACCTTTTCTGGCTTTCATGCCGGCTGTTTTGAGCATACGATGAACAGAACTCTTGCCGCTTCCGACAGATTGCGCGAGTTTTCGAACGGAGTTCTTGGACGAATTCGGACTTCTTTTGAGCCGTTTAAAAACTTTTCGTCGTTTTGCAGAAACATTGGCAGTCTTCTTTCGACCGCGTCCCGAGCGATCTTCATTTGATCCCGTTTCCTTGTATCGCTTCACTGCGCGGGACACATTCATTTTCCCCTCCTGCAAGATTCGCGAAATTTCAGCGTTGGTTTTTCCCCATTGGTGGAGGGAAATTATAGCTGGTCGAAGGTCCTTCTTCGATTTCATACCTGAAAATAGATAAATTAATACAATGAAACCAAAAAGTAAGAAAAAAAACCAGTAAAATGAAAAAAAAAGGCAAACAGAGTGCGCGTAACCATAATTTTGGGACACCCTGTATATGAGTGTTATATATCATTCGAAAGCTGAAGATCTCCTCTAAATTTTGATATAAAGAGTTTTTGAATTCATTCAACTTTTTGGGGAATTGACTGCACAAAGGGAGAGGTCGTTTTCGAAAAAACCCATTTCAGCTTAGCTATTCCTAAAGTTTTATCGTGTAAAATAACCGCCCAGAAAAGAAAAGAAAAGTAAAGATGCTCTGAAATTGTTATATTTTTAAAAAAAGTTGTATTGATATATCTATTGGCCAAACATCAAACGGTTAACTCAGTTTGAGCGGAGTCAAAACTTGATCCAAAGGCACCCTTCCATTTTTTGGCCACCTCTTCTTCTTCAGGCCAGTCAATTTGCCCGAAAGCTGAACAAATTCAAAAACTTTTTATATCAAAATGTAGAGGAGATCTTCAGCTTTCGAATAATACTTATATATATTTTTTTCTTGATTTCGGTATCTTGAGAAATTTACAAAATAGTAAAAAACACGCATTCATAACTGGACAACCTAATAGAAAGACTAAAAATATTATATAGAAAATAATGGAAAAACTCTGCAAAGACAACTTTTATAAGCGAAACTGTAGCCGTCGACGATCAGAAACGGATTTGCCTCGGTGAGTGTACTCGTTTTGCCGCATGTCACATTTGTGCTGGTGATGTTTGAATTGATTTTTGCGGTGACGAGAAAGCCTTGGATTTGATCGAAATATTTGTCTGGGTACCAGTTGAACTAAAAATTATTAGTCTATGGATAAATTTAACTAAACCTCAAAGCAAAGCCCAAAAAGTTTGAGTGTTTCCTGTTGAGAGATCGAGGAGAAGCTAAAGGTGCATTTAGTTTTCGTTAGAGTGTTTCCCTCTCAAGTATTGCACTTCTTAAAAAGCTTTCCTCTCAAGTATTGCACTTTTTAAAAAGTTTTTAAAAAACTGCATCATTTGCCTTTATACAGAATGACCAGAAAATACGTGAATTCATTCAAAAAAGTCATTTTTTTACGCGCCACGGACGTTAATTCTTCAAATTAACTTTAAATTCGGAAAATTCGCATATTTTAACTTTAGGACATTGATTTTTCAAGACCGAAATTAACTTTGAGCAACTTTCCGATATGATTCTTTTAAGGGTGCTTTGCTCTGACATTTTGTCAATTTTTAACTTCGATTTCCCACCGTGAAATTGCTTGAAAATCTTTTGTTTTTCAGTTATTTCTTTGGTTTATGGCTTATTTTGTAGAAAAATCTTAACTCTCCAAAATAGCACTCAACACTTTTCCAAAAAGAACTTTGTTTTGTTTGATTTAAAGTTAATCACTTCTATTATGACATTTTTTATAGTAAAAAAGGTTTTTAATAAGTTTAATAAGTTTAATTTCATTAATAAAGCGTTTGAACCTATGGAAAATATCTTTGGCACAAGTTTCGAATGATCGTTGTGCAATCACGTATTTTCTGATCACCTTTTACATGAAACCATTCAATGAAGAATCGCAATGCTCACTCAATGATACCAAAACGAGCCGATTGGGTAAAAGGAAACAGTTTGTTTACGGTAGTTGTTTACGGTAGTTTCCGAGTTTTGCACCTTACAAAAAGTGGAATTACTTGAGAGGAACACACCCTGGTCACAGCTATTGCAAAGCTACTTTCTAGACATACTTCCTTTTAAAGTAACCTTTTAAAGTAACCTAAGTAACCTTTTAAAGTAACCTAAGTAATTTTTTAAAGTAACCTAAGTAACCTTTTAAAGTAACCTAAAACTTTGTATTGGATTCTCAAAGAGGCAATCCACGGAGAATGGATTGGGGAATGGTGAGTGGAGGTTGATCTCCAAACGGCCGCCTTCAACAGAGAGAATGGTGATTTCGGTCTCCAACATTCCAAAGGCAGTCTAGAGAAAATATACTTGTAATAAAAAAAATTATGGTGCAAAGTCATGAGTTATCATAGCCTCAAAAAGAAAGATTGGTCGAACCAAGAAACACATTCAGGATAATGTTCAAAAAGAAACCTTTTCAATACCCGAAGAAACCGCTGAAACTATTGCAAAGAAAGTTGAAGATGATCGAAAAATTGATGAGGAAAAGGGTGATGGAGAGATGGGTGAAGAGGGGAGAAAGTGAGCTATTAAAGGAGGGGGGAAAGTGAGTTGATCAAGTAGATAATCAATAGATCAAGTAGATAATCAAGTAGATCAAGTAGATAATCAAGTAGATCAAGTAGATAATCAAGTAGATCAAGCAGATAATCAAGTAGATCAAGTAGATCAAGTAGATCAAGTAGATAATCAAGTAGATCAAGCAGATAATCAAGTAGATCAAGTAGATAATCAAGTAGATCAAGTAGATAATCAAGTAGACCAAGTAGAAATCAGTAGGAAAACTTTTGTAGAGTCTTATCTTGCCGATCCGTTTTTAGTTGTTTAAAACCAACTCACAGATTGATGCGAATAGTGATAGGTTGCATTGTTTTGATGATTCGGATAATCTGCAAGCGTCCACGGGTAGCCAAAACTATTGATGAAGGTCGAAGCGGAGTAGTCCAACGCGTTGCCCAATACGATCGAATCGTACGGAAGGACTCCTAAAAGCGTTGTTTTAAAATACATACCTATCTAATCTTACTATTAGATTTGAAAAAGATCACCTATTTTCCCTAGGTAACCTAACAAGCTAGAATACCGGACAAAAGTCTGTCAACCCCGTGCCGGCACAAGCTCTATAACATAATCTTTATCCTTTTAAAATACAGCGTTTTTGATGAGCACCTCAAAATGCACGATTCCCTTTGTACCCCACCAAACACATAACATTTTTCCGTTCTTTCCGTTCTTTCCACCTTTGAAGTCGTTACAGGAGATTCCCCTACACTGAGCCACTGTCGTTTCCAGTTGAGATTCTCGTACAAAATCCATTTTTCGTCAGACCACGCAAAGTGAGGTGTCAAAAGTCATCATTTTCAAAAGCGGATTTCTTAGGTTTTCAATGCTCCATTGACAATACAAAAGGATTGTCACTGGAACGAAAATGCGTTGAAAAAAATGCTAGGCATTCGGATGGCCAGAGCGGATGACCAGAGCGGATGACCAGGGCGGATGACCAGGGCGGATGACCAGGGCGGATGGCCAGGGCGGATGGCTAGGGCGGATGGCCAGAGGGGATGGCCAGGGCGGATGGCCAGGGCGGATGGCCAGGGCGACGGTGAAAAAATAATACCCCCGGGCTACTATTACAGCTTTTACGGTAGTTAAAAATTATGCGGTGATTGGTGTTCTGGGGTTTTCTTGCGGTTATATGTCTAAAAATAGGGTTGAAAGTAGGGTGCCGTCACGGGGTTGGCAGACTTTTGTCCGGTACTGTATGTCTCACTATCGATTTCCAAAACAAAGCCCAAACAAAACGAGCATCGTTCAGCCGTGTAGATGATGTTGATCGGCGAGCGAGAGAAGAGTAAGTTCGATGGACTGCAATTTGAAAATATATTAGCAAATAGGAATAAATAGGATAGCATTTTGTTAAAACATAGGTACTTATTGGTTAGCTTCACAGACAATTTACATTTTAGAGATTTGTACTTTCAACCAATTGATAAGTAAAGTCTTGGTCTTGGAAGGGACAAATCAAAGCCCAACACAATAAGTGTCAAGTATAAATCATAGATATCAGATAAATATCAATTTTCGAGCCAACTCACCCTCTATAAACTGAGTTGCCAAGTTTGCTCGAGTTGGCCGCGTTTATCGAGCCAATGTCGATCGTGTAGATGGTGTCCTGTGTGCAAGAGGCGTCAACCTATGCAAAAGTGATTTAAAAACACAAATAAAATTTATAAGCGTTTGCTGTAGTATAACTATTTCTTTGTCTACTATAAACTAATTTCAAGAAAATCCAAACCAAAAAGTTTTTGCCACAAATCGTTTGTGTGGGTTGCTGCCCATAGGTCAAGTCCAAGTACAACGGGTACAGCCCAAAGATAGGGGTTCTTGTCGATCTAAAAAAAATATTGAAAGGGACTTGGTGATTATTTTGTCGACTCATTTTTCTAACCACAAAACTCTGCGGCTTAAGCCTGATCGGTGAATCGATCTACAGGGTGTCCCAAAAGTTCAGGCACAACTTTTTGTAAAAGCAATTAGTAAGTGGCTAACTTATTTCAAATTATTAAGTGTTATATAGAGATTTGAAGCCCGGAATCTTCGCTACATTTACATACCAAAAGCTTTCGAATTGGAGTCACACAACTTATGTGACAAGTTTTTTCGTGAGTACTACTCGGTTTCTTTCCGACACGCTGCCATTTTTGACGATTTTCTTTGTAAAAACTTTTTTTAAAGCGCCTTTTTGTTATTTATTTCATCATAATGTAACATTTATTATCATTTAATAATAATAAAAATAAAATCCAACTGTTTTGTCAAACTTTCCTAACCAAAATTCAATTTGATTTTAAGTTTATTTTGAAGCTCAAGGAAAAAAGCGAAAATTGAGCGTTTTTTGATGTTCAATTTGAATCCAGATTTTGATGTATGTGCTGCTCTAGCTCTAGAAATTCATTGAACTTAATTTTTTGAACAAGAATAATGCAAAATTGTTTTGGGGAAACCTTTCTGAACGAAAAATCGTCAAAAATGGAGATCCCTGAAAGAGACCGAGTAGTGCTCACGAAAAAACTTGTCACATAACTTGTTGTTGTTGTGTGACGCGAAAAAAACTTGTTGTGTGGCTCCAATTTGAAAGCTTTTGATAGGGAAATGTAGCCAAGATTCCGGGCTTTAAATCTCTATATAACACTACTTATTACTTTTGAAATAAGTTAGACATTTGCTAGCTGCTTTTACAAAAAGTTGTGCCTGAACTTCTGGAACACCCTGTATTATACGACATTTTAAGGCGCCTACTCGTAAACGAGAGGATGAGCCACCAAAACGGCCATCATCCCGACTTTGACAATCACGTTCGAGTACTGATCCCATTGGGCACTCATCGGTACGACCAGCACTTCAATGTCAGCTGAAGTTTGATCATGGCTAGATTTAGCAGATTATAAGGTATGCGCTGGAGCAAAAAAATCGGTTATTCGGTCGGTCTTTTAACCGCCAAATGACACTTATTGTTTTGGGGAAGCCTTTCTGAACGAAAAACATATCACTGACACTGGTTAGACGTTAGGTTGGTTGCATCGTTTTTAAATCCTCTGATTTGGAGGTTTAAAAAAACAGAAACCGTTAACCAATCAACCAATCACACAGCTAATAGCCATCGACTTTACCGGGTATTTCCCTCTCGTTCTTCCTTTCTTTCTCATCCTTGTCTTTCCCATTTCTTTCTGGGCAAAAACGACGCCGATAGCTCAGTGGTAGAGCATCTGCCCGATAGGCAGAAGGTCTAGGGCTCTATTCCCCCTCGTTTCCAAATTTTTCCCTATCTTTTTTTACTTTCTTACCATCAACCCATTCAATTACACGAATCGAAATCGCATAATCGACGAAACTCTGATCCACACTCAAAACTTTCAAACTTGAGAAGAGATTAAGCAAACGAAACTGGTAGACATACAATCCTTTTTGAAAACCCGGGTCATAGGCACTAAAAAGAAAGAAAGTAAAAGAAAGTAGTTAAACAAATTCGAACATCCATCTGGCTTTGCGATAGTTCAGAGTGAGACCGTTGACCGTGAATGGTATCGGATCGTTGCAGATGACGATTTCGCCTGGATCATCGACCTGTTAAGAGATGCATTTCATAAATAGAGAAGAAAAACGTTATTTAAACAAACAAAAACAAAAACAAAAACAAAGCTTTCATTACCAAATAATAACCGAAAATCTTACTTGACTTTGTAAATGGTCTTCGTTCTTATCATAGCAATCGACCCGCGAGAAATCGAGCAAAAACGAGCATCCATCACAGGCATGCAGTCGAATTGGCTAAACAATAAATGATTACCTGTTATTCTAGTAATTTTCTATAATCAATTAATTGAAAACCTAGTCTAGCCCCTTACAAACATGGTCTAGGAATAGGACCCGAAGCCAGAGCTAACCCCAACTTTATCCACACTGCCCTGGCCATCCAAATGCCTAGCATTCTATTGAACGGATTGTCGATTTGTTAACAATTCTTTTGTAAGGACTATCAATTCATTATTTTATAGTAGATTTGGTTTTCGAATCGAATCAAATTTGATGATGGTCTAAATTCAAATCGAATCGATCCAATTTGATTCGATTCGAAAAATTTTAATTTTCGATCCAAACCGAACCAATTTGATTCGAAGCTTTTACGTTTTTGGTCTGGATCGAACCGATTCGATTCAAAAAAAAGTCAGACCGAAAACTACGTCTACTTTATTGTGCAACATTACTGTGCAATATGATATGTTGTACGGGCATAATTTTTAACTACCGTAAAAGCTGTAATAGGATTATTACAGCTTTTACGGTAGTAAAAGCTGTAATAATCCCGGGGGTATTATTTTTTCGCCATCCGCTCTGGCCATCCGCCCTGCCCATCCGCTCTGGCCATCCGCTCTGGCCATCCGCTCTGGCCATCCGCCCTGCCCATCCGCTCTGGCCATCCGCTCTGGCCATCCGAATGCCTAGCATTCTTTTCAACGCATTGACAATCCTTTTGAACAGACTATCGATTCGTTGATAGTCCTTTATAGAACAAAATATCATGATATGTTGTACTGACATGATTTTTAACTATATGCTAAACCTTTAGCTTAACGTATAACACTTCATACATAATTGAACGTATATTTTCTAACATTCAAATTTACATAATCTAATCAATTCTACACATGCACTCAAATTCAGGCTCTTTCAACTAGAATTTTATTAAATAAAGCTAATTTAATGGAAACCAAAGCATTTACCCCATACTCATACAGATCCCAGCCGTGAATCGCATACGATGGATCGTCGATCGTTAAATTGAATTCTCTGATCGATTTTGAGAAATTAAAAAAGAAACACAATATAAAAGTCCACATGTAGAATGTACAAGCTTAGACGCCTGTTGTTGCTTTTTTTCGTTTTGTTTCTTCTACGACTACGACTTATCGACTTACGACTACGACTTTGTTTTCTTCTTTGCCCTGACCTTCTCTTCTCGAAATCGCTTATCGCTGTCAGACATAAGGTATTAACTTTTTGAATCAATGGAATAAATTGTCTAAGAAAAAAAGAAGAGATACTCGAAGTGCACCTTCTGCAATGAATATTTAATATTAGGGTTGTTAAATCAGGAAAGTATGTTTCTGGAATCGGTTCGCAATTTTGCAATTTTTGAATCGATTCACCGGCTCGCATTGGAGCCGATGACTAACCGAATATTATCTCTCTAGATTTGTTGCCTGAATCATGAATTTTTTGTTTATGTCCAACTGTGTAAGATTTAATAGCAGCACGTAACTCCCCATTCCACTACTGCCGAACTTGATTAGTATTCGGCGTGCATTCGTATACAGCAAGAAAGTGACTCGAGTTGTTGAATGATTGCCTATAGGATACTCAAAAAAAACCTGAACACGGAATTGGCAAAAGAATTGTGTTGATGTTTCTTCTGGTGTTTGTGTCGCAATCGGTATCACGTCTAACTGATTACAAAAGCTATACGCTCTTTCAAATATCATCTAAATATTATTCTCATAATTGTGTCTGATTAAGCAATCTCGAAAGATCTTGTAGCTTTAATTGCCAAGATTCTTCTATCTGCTAACTAACAAAATTTATAAATTTTAGGACAAAATAGCGGGTGCGCCTATTTGGGAGTTGTTGGGATTAACACGAACAACAGGACCAAAACATGTTCTAACGGAAAATCAGAAGCTGATAAAAGTTTCAAATTAGGGAGAATTTTATTTGCAAGTAGTAATGCAAAAAGAACTCGTTCAGTATTTTGCCGGCTGCTTGCAAATTGCCACTCGACATCGAGTCTCACAGGGGAGATCATTCCATTTATATAGGTATTGCTCCGATTTTGGATACGCGGTCGGGAACAGATCGGAGATTGTCTAAAGCCGTCATTGTTTTTTCTACACATACAGGTAGTTTGGGTTTTTTCATAATTAATCCCGCGGACTACTCCACCTGCAAACACCATTCAAACACATTGTTGTCCGGCTGGCCATCAGCCCAAATCGAGTAGTTGAACGGCGTCCCGTCTACCCACATCCAATCCGTTTTCCCGGGACCCGTCTGAAAAAGAAAGTCAATTTGTTGATGCTTATCTGTCCGTTGAATTTCAATATATTTCGTATTTATCTGGTTTTTCGAAATTGGCAAGCAAGCTAACAAGAGGAAGTCAACTAGCTGAGCCGGTCCAATGCTATGCGGCCTAGGGTTGAGGAGTATGAAATGGCGCCGACTTACAAAAATTTTTCTGGAAGGCATAAAAGCTCGATCTAATCCATGATTTGTTTAACCAAAAAGGTCTACCATTGCTCTACAAAATGGCTTTTAAAAGATTCCGTAAAGCTTTTGTGTTGTGGACTTTATGGGCTCCTAAAAGCAAGCAGTCAAAATGACAAGGAGTTGGATTGGTCATTTGGCTCGTTCCTTAAACATAGACTTAATTTGATGTCACAACAAAAAACTTAGAGCACATTTAATTACATATATGGCCAAATTTTTGTAGTGATCTCGTCAGTCATTCTCTTTAAACGACAATTTATAGATTTTCTGAAAAAGCTATTTTGATTGAATTGGGGCCCTTTTTGAGTTCTATTTCAAATAGGATTTTGTAGTGAAATAAGTGACCTTTCTAATGATACTACCCGCGTGTCATTTGATAAAGACCACTCAATGTTATAGAAGTTTCTTGGAAAGTCGGCGCCATTTCATACTCCGCAGCCCAATAGTTCGCCTTTATAGTCATTTATTCCCAATTTTCGGTCGAGTCGATTCTGGGCTCGTAATATGCATTTATTTAAACTGTAGTCACTTTCCAGAGAGGCCATTGTAAGTTGACAATCGTTTGAGTGGTTTGAACAAAGTTGAACAAGATGCGAACGTTTCCGAAATCACTGGGAAACGAGACTGCTGTTATAAATGATTTAAAAGAATGGAATGCCGAAAAGACGAAGTAATCCCTTATTATTGAAGGAACGTTTTGAACATTTTTTTCGGACGTTCGGACAAGAAATTTTTTTGGGGTGTGCGGCCCCTGATTTGCCCAAGTCTACAAAATATTTGTTTTTTTTTTTTAAATCATAAAATTGTAAAAACACTAGCCATTAACAAAACGATTCTCTGTGTCCGAATGAATCGATGTCAGAAACGAATTCATCGATCGACAATTCTGATCGCCTTCCGTAAAGTCGACGTTGAAAATCACCTGATAGAAAAATCATACTAAATTGTTATATTTTTGTCTTTAAAGGCTCATAAACATCATTTGAAAATATTTAAGATTTAACGTTGTCACTTTGTAGCAAAACTTCAACGATTGTGAGTAGACCCAATCTGTTGGACAAGGCGCATATGGTGGGCAGCTGGGCGGCTCGGTACTTGCATCCTTAATAGATTTGTTTAGTCCATGTCAAAACCTTTTAAAATTTTGCAGTTGATTAGCATTCAGTTTATATCTTACTTGTGTCCGACATACGAATGGAAAGAGCTCATTCCAATTGGCTGTCGTCCATTTGCCATTCGTTAAATTGAGAAGGAGATATCCGGCTGGCATTCCTGCAAAAGACTCGTCGTTTAAGGCTAAAGCATTTTTCCTTCATAGAAAGGGCTAAAAAAGCTAGTTTCTACGTATAGTTACAAAATTAACTTAAGTACGCTGGTAGCTATTACGTGGCGCCCTTCTTTGCTGGTATGCAGGGCTGGACCCAGAAAGCCAAAAAACCAAGCTCCGCCCATTTTTCTTGGCTTTTGGCTTGGTTTGGCCTGGACTTTGGGGTTATTTGAAAAAAATCAATGTGGGGGGCCACGTGAAAAAGTGCAAAATCTGAAGATTTGGCCTTGCTTGACTTGACCTGGAAAATCGGCTCTTCGTTCAGCCCTGCTGGTATGTACGGGGCAAACAAAGTCCCGGGTTTCCCTCGGTCAAGGACAGCAACACAATCAATTTTATGCCAAGGAAGTTCCAAAAGTTGCAAAGTTCCAACGGACTTGCTCCCCTATGGCAGACCTAGCTTATGCGCCCCACCGTTAGAGTTTGTTGCTCGCCGTTAAACAATCAAAGAAATAAATTGGCACTAATAATCGGTTAATGGCGGTTAAACTCGGTTAAAGTGACGATTAAACAAATTAATTTATGCAAAATTTTTTTGAGTACATATTGTTACAAGCAACGGCGTCTCTCGGAGTTTTTTTTTATCATTGATGCTTTTTTTAACTTAGTTCTTTATCAAATAACATTTATTTTAAGATTTACTTTGCACTACGAGCAACAGAAATCCGTAATAACATGTGAAACAAAATATTGATATGAACAATCACTAAAAGCAATGGCACACGTTTTTTTGCTTTATTGGTTTTGTTAGGTTTTGAACAACGTTTTTTGAATAATAAATTGTTCAAAAATGTTATTTTTATATAAAAACAATATCTAGAAGCATTTCATACATGTCTTGGAATTTAAATAAAAATTTTGGCAACTTTGGGGGGTATCGAACCCCTGATCTTTCGCATCAGAGCCTAGGGCGCCAACCACTTGACTAAAAGAACAAATAGACCGTCAGAGTGACGGATTTGGAGGCTTTTGCGGTACTAAAAATCCAAGTATTTCCTTCTTTCTTTCTTCCTTTCTTCTCCCCTCTTGTTTTTTCTTCTTTCTCTTGGCAAGTTAAAATACCTGATAGCTCATTGGTTAGAGCAATTGCCTGAAAAGTAAAAGGGTTCAATCACCTCTCTGGAAATTTGCTTTTTCTTGCCAATTCCTTTATCAAGGCTAATTATCATTTCTTTATCATAGAGAGGTAAGAAAGTTCACCCACCCTCTTGCAGATTGCTAAACTCTGCCGGTGTTTCGTCGATCCATGTGATTTTTGTGCCATCATACTTTCCACCCAGCCAGGCAAACTTTGTGTTCTAAATTTATTCTTGTCGACAATAAACACGACAATGGGTCACGGGTATGGTAAATCTCAATTCTAACTTACATTGGCAAATGTCTTGCTTAGAGAAAGAACCTTCTCGTTAGCGTCGGCGCTTTGTATCGAGATCAAATTACCGTAGTAACTATAGTTTCTGTTCGATAAGTCATTAATACAGTAAAACTTTGAGCAATAATCTTGAGCATTCTGAAAAGTGTCCTCAAGTTTCACCGCGAAAAGGCAGCTTCCCTCTTCGGCGTCGGGGATGCCGTTCTTTGGACAAAAAGCGACAGAAAGTGCTAAAGTATATGCAAATTTTTGTTATAATACAGTAACGTCTACCTATCAAAGTTGTAAAATAGTAGAAAATGGAAGAAATTGAACGTGTCATTTGTTTTTGAAAAGCTTGACGAGGTCTGAAAAACTATATCTTCTCGGTGTAGGCTAAATTCGGCCGGTTGCTCACATTTGGCCCAACTGATAAAAATTAGGTCAAGGGTCTGTTTTTTCGTAAAAATTTAAAATAAACCGTCGCTTTTTTTTTCCTATTTTCACAAACAACCGATAAGGGAAAAAGTCAAATTTAGAGTTCTTTCAAAATTTTGCCCGTGGCGACAACAAGCTGATAAGAGGCACCGTTCGTTTTGTTTGAAAAAACTCCCAAGTTCATGTTTGCTTTCAATCGGTATCTTTTAGCCAAACTTTGTCCTTTTTACATGCAAATGTTTTATAAAAGGTGTATAAAATCTGAAAAGCAATAGGTATCGATAGAACCAATAGATAGAAGAGCAATGCCAGCCCAAACGGAGTAAGATTCAGTGAATGTTCAGATTTTCTCTTTCTCTCGACCTTGTTTTTGTCCTTGTCCTGTCATCTACCGTAAATACTGTAATTGGACCCCACCCCTCTAATATTAGGTTGTCCAATAAGTAATGCGTGTTACTTATTTCGAAACTATTTCGAAATCGCTTCGAGCAAATATATGCTCTTTTTAATCATCAGCATCTTGTGTTTATTTTTATATATTATTTTATTCATTTGCCTTTGTTTTATAATAGATATGTTGTTTTGCAGATGAAAGACAAAAGTTTGTTGTCCGCGCATCAATGCTGTATGATTTCAAACGAGGTAGAACTGCAGCGGATTGCCATCGAACTATCTGTGCCGCATTTGGAGAGGATTCAATTTCAATCAGCCAGTGCCAGCGCTGGTTTAAACGATTTGCCGACGGAAACGAGTCCTTAGAGGACGAGGAACGCGCTGGAAGGCCAGTCGTTGCTGACTTGTACTCTCAACAATTGGAAAGAGTGCAGCAAGCTCTTTGTCGTAAAGGAGAGGACACTTCGATGATTAAACTGCAGTTTGACAATGCTCGTCTTTTTGTTAATTTTGTGATATTTTGAAAATCGTGTCAAAACACGCATTACTTATTGGACAACCTAGTAGTACCCCACCCCCACCTAACGCGTAATTACAACCAACTCTTTTAAAGCGGAAAATTTTCATGTATTTTCAGAAATCGTTTGTATTTTTAATTTTATCCCATAAATTTGTTGTTTTTAAATCTGGGGTAGCTACTTTGCGCCAAATTTTTTGCGCAGCTCGCCATAACTTTCTTTTAAGTGGCTAACATTCGGAAGCTTAGCTTCCGAATATTAGCTTCTGGTTCTAGAAGCTTAGCTTCTGCTTAGTGAAATGCTTTAAAATTGTTAAAGGCATTCATCCCGACCTCCTTTTTTCTGGTCTCTTGGAATTCGGCTCTCTACGGGGCGCCTCTAGAAGGTTTTCTCATACGCCAACCTTCCGTTTCCTCTAAAAGGCCCCACAGTTTCTTTTTTAATCGAGTTATTAAATTGTGAAACCTTTAATCCCGTCATCTTCGTGATATTCCCACCTTGGCTAGATTTGAAGCCGCAATTTCGGCAATTGATTTGACTGCTCTGTGATTCGTTCTTGAGATATCTATTTAGCTTGTGCGTGTGTTTTGAGTGGTGTCCCGGGTAATTATTGTGATTTTGTTTTGTCGCTATTCAACTGAATAAAGCATTAAGGAAAGCTTTATTGGAAAAGAGGTAGAATTCAAAATTAAGAAAAATTCCACGAAAAATAGAGAAATTGTATGAATGTTTGAGAAAAATCTCCAGTTTTGATATTTAGCCACTAACTATAATTATTGTGATTTTGTTTTGGCGCAATTCAACTGAATAAAGCA